AGGAGCAGTAGCAGTAGGAGTAGGAGCAGTAGGAGTAGGAGTAGGAGTAGGAGTAGTAGGAGTCGGAGTCGGAGTCGGAGTAGGAGTCGGAGTCGACGTTGGAGTCGGAGTAGGAGTAGGAGTAGGATGTAGTAGGGGGTTCCTTAATTTCTCCTCAAAAGAAGAAACTTCTTGCAACGCTTCATGCCAATAGATGTAAATGTTTGGTCTTCCCAAGGTGATGTTTACGCACTTTCTGCCACTTTCTGCACCCTCTCAACCCGTTTCGGCTCTCTCACCCTACGTGCGCGTTTTCGGATCGCTTGAGGCTGGTCCATGCGGACTGTATGGCCAAGATGGAGTCCTTGAATGCGAGCATGGGAAGTCAGGCGAACGGATGCTGATCAGTAGGTCCAAGAGAAGCGATCAAACGGGAACCCCAAAAAGAAGCGATCAAACGGTTCCCGCGTTCCGCTATTGATATACAGGTATTAGCAATTCACATGGGATTTGGCCCCCAGGAGATTGCGGTCCAGAAAAGCTTGAACGTGCACTTACTCAAGGTGGAGTTGGAATGGGTACATAGTCAGAGTCTGTTGGTCTCTGACTATCAGCTACAGACAGAAAAAACACTGTAAAACAGTGTGTGTTAGAACAGGAATTTCCAAACGTCCCCACCTACGGAACTCTTCAACAGAGACGATGTCCTCACTGACTTGGGACTGACATTTAAATTGGCTTGGTTGTAGCTGCTTGTCACACTTTCGCTCATCTAACCCACAAACATCAAGCTGGTGTCTACTCCCGCTGGTGCACACCTGGTTTTGAGGGGTCCCAGCGCCTTTGGCACCGGTCGCCCAGATGCCCTTCGAGCGCCACCTGCGAACGCCAGGCAAGCGGGGAAGCAAACAAACATCTTAAAACCAAACGCGGATGAACAGCTTTTTCTGACTGGTGCGGCTTGAACGGAGTGAAGGAAATTGAAGGAATGGATTCCCTGGATCCAAAAGACTCAAGAGTGGAGGCTCTTGTTTCGTTCCCTACGCGTCGCACCAGTCTGGTTTTGTTTCGATCCAAAGTGCATGGACCAGGGTGAGTGAACAGGACTCCCGGAAGAGTGAACATGCCTTTTTCAGAAAGGGCTCCCGAGTGTGTCGCATGTGTTGTTTGTCGAGTTTTTTTTTTGTTTTGGAATGTCGCATGAAGTGTGGTTGGCATGTGTTGGCAGTTTTGGTTTGGCAGTTCTTCTTGTTTTGTTGGTTGGCATGTGTTGATCTTTCGGTCTTTTGTTCGGGGAACGACCTCGCGGCCGTCCGGCGCGGCACGGAGCAGGTTTCGACGGACTCGGTCTGCCAGATGTCTCCGCGCGGGCACCGAGGGTGGGCTTGGAGGGCTTGGAGGGCTTGGAGTGGACTGGCAGATGAAGTATGACGAAAGCAACCCATGGTGTGACCCCTGAAACGATTCTGGTGTGACCCCCTGAAACCCCCCTTTTCATCGACTGGTGTGACTCGGTGTGACCCAATCGACGTGACTCTTCCCTCGAAGGCTTCCTGACTCACCGTCTCCTGGGTCCACGGTTTGATTTCTCCGAAAATAGACAAGGTGTTTGAGGGAGAGGTGTGTGTGTTTACCAAAAGAGATGTTTGCAAAGCGTTTTTCATCCCTGTCTCAGCGGAATTCGGGTTTCAAGCTGCACTTCAAGATGGAGAAACGCGTGGCCGCACTTCAAGAAGGAGACACCCACGGCTGTCGGGAGTGGGTCCCAGCCTGTGGACATCGTTTGTGACCAACTTGTGACTGTGATGATGGTACAGTATCACCGAACTCCTATCGTCTGGCCGTCGTTTTCGGGTGTGTTTTTTCGGCTACTTTGGGGGCCCCAAAGTTGGTTGGAATCATGAAGCGCGTCGACCCATGCCATCGACCCTCCCTTCCACATTTCTTTTCTTGGGGTTAGACATTCTGTTTGTCCACTCCAGCATTGCCCATCCATGATTGAGGCCCAGGCAATGGCCATGCTGCAGGCCGTTTCGCAGCCCCGTTGCCTCCAGTGTTTTGAACAATCAATGCGTAGAAGCTGCTTACCAGAGCATGGATGTTGCCTTCTGAAGGGAGACCCCATGCCTATCAGAAGAGAATGGGAACACAGTTACACGCTCTTTGCGATGTCCCATATTCCTCACAAGCCCAATCAATCAGATCATCAGTCTCAACAATCGTCACGAGCCCATGCACAACCAAAAAGGACCTCACAAGTCACAAGTGATGATGGATTCCAGAGACTCCATCGAGCATCGGAGCATCGAGCCTCTGGTGGTCTGCCTGCTCGTGGAGTGTAGGGAAACCCGTCTCTTCCGTGGAAGGCGCAGCAGCAACTCCAGCTCTGGCAATCACAAGTGGGAGCTCATGCAGGCCATTCCCTATATCTGAGAGGATGAAATTTGATGACATTTGGAGTTTTCACCAATGTGGAGGTGGTAGCTGGTAGCAGATTTCAATCTCTGAGACGCAGCTGTTTGCTTCATGTTTAGAAGACATAGAACCATCTTCCTGAAATTCTTGCAACCATGAAACACATTGTAATTTCATGCAATTTCAATCTGTGGCTGACTCCAGAAGAAGTCTGCCAGGATTTCTCACGCCTTTGTGCTAAGTGAATCCCAGTGTGGGCGGGTCGGAACCATTGGATGCTTTTGTAGGCAATTGTCCATTGCTACAGAGTCACAACCACGAACTGCACTTGAACCTATCGGTGTGGCGGCTTGCTGCGTGGAATGCAGTGGACAGAAACCATGGTCCCGAAAGAAACTGGTCAACCTAGGAGCGATGGCCTCCAACCTACGAACGCGATGGCCTCCAACCTAATAGGGACAGAGGCCCAGAGAGGTCTCAAAGGCCCGGTCGCCAAGCTATGGCAGACTTGTTCGGTCCACCGATGGGTCGTGTTCACGGCGGTAGGAGCTGCTCCTCTTCCTCCTCCTCCTTTCTCAGACATTGCATCGTGGATGAAGAGTCTTGGAACTCCTCCCTCAGATGCCTTGCCATCCACCGGCCGGGAGAATGGGGAAGATGGACCGGGGTACCAGGGTACTCAGTAATTGGTTAGTTTGCATGCTGGCATATTCGTTTTCGCATTGCACCGGGATCACTGATAATCACACACTTCATATGTTTTGTCCGATACCATGCAAGATTTGGGATTGCTGCCCATGCTTCTTTTCCTCTCCAGGAGATGCAGAGCTCTTTTCTATATTCGCAGGAGTCCCAACCAAACAGGCTTTAGCATCTCTATGCCTTCGGCAGTGAAATCTTGTGAGCTGTCCACTTCTCCGCATGATTTGCAGGGGTGTGGTTCACCCGAAAATTCCAAACTCCAAGCTCTTCAGAGAAAATGACTTGAATGATCAGGCATTTCTCGGCTGCACCGGGTGGTGAGCCCTACCCTACCCCCTCTACCCTAAGCACTCGGATTGAGGTCGAGATTGGAGTGCTCCAAGCTTGGGACGTGCTCCCGGTTCTTCCGCCGGCCAGGCGCTGCGGATCCGCTGCTTCCCATGACTGTCCCGCACGCGCGGAGGGCCTGGAGGGCGGGTGGCGGTGGCGGTGATTTGAAGGCATCAGGGAAGGGATTCCTTCAGTGATTCCTTCAGTTGTTGGCCACTTCCGAAGGCTTAGAAGGCTTAGCAAGTCGGGACACTGGCGACAGACGTCGCTCTCTCCTCTCTCTCTCTCTCTCTCTTGTTTCGTTCCTCAGAGAAAGGAACTACTCAGTTCTTCAAGCACAGACCTGGGAGCTACAGAAGTGCTGCACACCCCAAATACAGAAGCACCCTTCTTCGACACGACACCCGGGTTGAGATGTTGGAGCCCGTCATCGACCGGTCCGATGGGTCTCAGGATGCGCCGGAGGAGGATGTGGATGAGAACCAGGAGTTGCAGATGGACACACTCAAGCCAGGAGCCTGGAAGAAACAGACGGTCCTTTCAGCGGAGTGTAGACCTGTTCAGCGAAGCTACAGAACTTTTGGAGGATCATACATTGTACAGTATCAGATCATATATATATATATATCATGATATCACAACACTTATATATACATATATAGTTATTGATATAAATATATAATCATAGACTATAGACTATAGATCCATAACATTCTTTGTATGTATTGATTTTAAATGGATTCAACATGACGACCTTTTGACCTAAAACCCAGACATCCTTTTTTCTGATTGCGACTGATACTCACATCAGCGCACTACCGGGGGCCCTCATGGGCGCATCCCTTAAGTCCAGCCAGACCGTGGGAAAGACAACGTCCAGACGAGGGACCTAGGGACCTAGGGGGTCCGGCGCATCCCTTAAGTCCACAGGATGAGAAAGGATGAGACTTCCATGGGTGGGACGGAACCGTCAAGCCTGTCGTCAACAGCCTGTCGTCTGCCTTTGGTCATGTGGAACATGTGAGAGTGAAATCTGTTAAGATTTGAGCAGAATCGTTTTCCACGCGAGCTTTGCAACATGACACCAAGTTGATTTGAGGCGTAGCTACAAAAAGAAAGCCCTGCGGTCGGTGGACTTCATATAATATGTTTGACCGGATTTGCAGAGTCCGCAGATCAAGGAACAGTTGTACAAGTATCTCTACTGGCTTCCCATGTTTGTCCAGGAGTGAGTAGGTTTGGCAACATTGGGTGCGAGACCGCGCCCTCACAGATCGAATACATACTTCTTGTTGGGGTTGGCTCAACATGTTGCACATCATTGTTCCATGCTGAAGTGCAAGATTTTGAAACATTTACCATGTGTTTTGCGTCCCTTACTGGCGCGGTTCCATGGTGAGAAGCTCCAAAGCCATGACTTTGGTATGACTTCTGGGAGCAGCGGTGCCATGCGGAAGAAGGGTTGGGGTATGACTTAGGCATGACTTAGGCTTTTCCCTGTATCAGAAAGCATTTGGGTGGTGAGCAAAGAAGGATTATTTTCCAAAAGGACTTTGCGTTCAGGTTCGTCCTGTCTTTGGGCGAAGCGAATTTTACGTCTTGCCGCGGCCCATGACCGGCGCGTTTTGCGGTGGCGCAGCACGGTCGCGGGGCGCGCCTGGATGGACGCCGAGCATGGCCTCGCGCGCCCGGCAATTCCCAGCTCGTGGCTGGGCTTTGAAGGGGTGGATCACCCGTTTCGCCGAGATTCCTACGAACTCGGAAGAGTTCGTCAGAAGAGCACCAGGTGCCCCAAAATGGGGGCTTGGTTCGCGTATATAGAAGGGTAATTTTCCTGCTGATGTCTTACCTGGGTTCGCTGTTTCAGTTTCAGCTCCCAAATGGGGCTTGGTACTCTCCACAGAGCTCACCCGGTGTTTCTACTACCTCAATCGATTTCTGCTCTTCGGGCCCCCTTTTCGCCGACAGGGCAGGTGGGACCGTGTGCCCGGTGCCTTTTCCGGACGACGAAGGCGCAGCGAAGGAGCGAAGGAGCGATGGCCCTCAAGCGGAGCGTTCGTGCGAAAGGACCGAGACCTATGAAGCATGTTTCCTCATCAGTGCCCCATAGCTGGCATGTTGCTCTCTTTTGGGGGGGGGAGCCCTTTCTACTGGGTGGTAGGAACATCCAGCAGTTGGGGGTGTGGGTGTTGTTTTTGTTGAGATTCGTCCAGCAGCCCAGGTTTGAGGCCTTGTTAGAAGCAGAGCCACAGGTCCTGGAGAGCAAGAGAGTCTTCCAAGGGGAGGTCGCCTGGAATGCAGATCCGCCGGAGGGCGTTTTCGATTGATCCCGTTGAGATCCGACGGAGGGGTTGAGATTGGAGGAACCAACGTACTCATGTCGTCAATTCTGTCCAAATCACGACAAAACCTGTGCTCAGACAGTTTGGTGACATCGGATCCATTTCAGACCGCAGACCCACCCGCTTCGTCGTCTCGACCTCCGCTTCGGTCTCCGGCCGCACGGAGACCGGTCGTCTCGACCGAGGTGTTGAGCCGTCGGGTGAAGTCCAAGCACCTGACCTTTTGCACCTTGCAGGTGGGGGAGGATCACACCACGGAGCTCCGGAGAAGCTCCGAAAAACAAGAATGGGCCCCCCCCTTTACTTTCCGTTCTTTGGGGAGCCTAACAACGATCCCCTTTGAAGACAGGCCCTTCGGCCCTTCGGTTGTGGTTTTCGGGGGTGTCTAGTTTTTCCGTGGCTTTGGTGTACCAGCCAGGGCCGCCTACCGGTGTGCTTTTGTGTACCGGTAGAAGCCACATCGCCACACGGACTCAATGAGCCTCGATGAGCCTCGTGGAGCCTCATGACTGTGATTGGGTGCCGTTGACTCGACTGCTGGTTGCCTTCTTGTCGACGCGTTTTTTTTCTCAGGTGCAGAGCGATGAGCAAGATGAGCACGTTGCACTTTGCTTTGCAGCCGCCCTCGTAGATGAATCCCAGGCGTGGGTTTGGGACCCCCGGATGGACCGGCTCAACAAGAGCTCTGTTTCGGGGAAGGGGACCTGGTGTGGGACCTGGTCGTGGGATGGGTCGACATCATCGACGTGCAGGACGTGTTGACCCAAGCCGCCCGAGCGAGAGCGGAACATCCCAATTTGCTAAGCAGCCCCTTTGGATCCCCCTGGTTTCCTAGGTCTCAGGAAAGAAGTATGGGGCGAAAATCGACATCAAAGCTGAAAACCATTGAACACCTCTGCTTTGTGGGGAGCAGTCTTCCAGTCCATTTTGTCGCTTAGACCGCAAGGAAGGTAGGAGGTACTTCCGTCACGTGCGAAGCACTGTGCTGCTGCCGCAACGAAGCACCAGTGGTCGAAACCTGTGAGGTCCCGTCGCCGACGCGCCGCAACGATCTGCCCGTTGGCCTTCAGATCGAGGTGGGGGAACAAGGGGATCAGTTGATTAGCTTGAGAGGTGAAATCATCCTGCAAACCCACACATGGTGACGATCTAGGAGTCTATCTACGATGAATGGCCTGAAGATGCCTACCTTTGTGGTTGACTCTTATGCCCCCAACCCAGGGCATCTCATCCCGAATCCGTTCTTGAGTGCTTGATTCTGCTCGATCCATCCTTCTTCCGGTGTGAATATAACTACCCTCCTCCCGGGCTTCTCCAAGAGCAGTCAAGGCCGCCCCTCCGCCTGAAAGAATCTGACAGAATCCTGAACACCCGAAAGATTCCTGGTTCAGACTCCAACATGCTGCCCAGACCTTCATCCAGATCTCCAGACCGTTTTGCCCCAAGGTCGAGGTCGTCCGGGCGCCTCGCTTCCGCCCGGAGTTCCTGGTGCGCCGCTGGCGACGTGCACCCGACGGGGGTTCCCCCGTTGTGGAGACCGGTGCGCACGGGGTGTCGATGGCGCGATGCTTGGCGCTGAAGGACCAGGCGCCGCGGAGGGACGAAAGAGAGATGAGGGAGCCAGTGGTTGGTCTGGACGAAAGAGACAAGGAGATTGAGATAGATAGATAGATAGATAGATAGATACTATCATCCAAGAACGGATTGCAATGGATAAGTGTAGTTGGCACATCTGGGACTCGGAGTAGTTGTTTTGCTCGGCTGGAGCTCGGACTGCCAGGTGAACCGACGTGCAAAGGCACTTTTGGGAGGCCGACGCGTGGCGGACGGGTGATCGTCTTGATTCGGACAGAGCGAGATTCCGCATGTCTCAACTTGGGCAAAACACACCCGAACAGGATCCCTTTGGGTGTGAAGTCTTCTTATTTGTTCATGCTCCCAAATGGTTTGGTTGAATAGACATGATTGAACAATTCGTGGTTGGTTGGTTGGTTGGTTGGTTGGTTGGTTCTGAGACGCTGAATATCCATTGGTGAGAGCCTGGTCAACAAAGATTTGACAAAAAACCCTTATGTTGTGGTAGGAAATGCAAACGACGGCTGACCACCAATTGGATGCTTGCAGAAGCAGGCAACTCCCAACCCTGGAGAGGCACCCGATCCATCGCCGAACCCATGAACCCGTGGACAGCAAGAACCCTGGAAGTATGAAGAGTCGAAGAGCCACATTGTTAGAACAACCTCCTGGCCCAACATTTGTTTTTTAGTTGCTAATACCGATTGCCTCCAACCTAAGAGCGATGTCCTCCATAGAGATTTTTAAGGGTTACAGTCTCCATAGTCGTCCGTAGTCGAAAGCGACACACTCAAGTGTCTACGCGATCGCAGGCGATGGTTTGGCGCTCTGCAAACGTTGGTCGGGCTGTGCGGCTGGGAGCTGCAGCGAGGCAGGAGTGAAGGTGCTGGTACCTATGTTGATTCAGAAAGTAGCACGAAACATCAAGAATCAAAATGACATGAATCTTAACAAGGACTCCCTCTTCTTAGTAGCGGTGTCCGGAGTTGAATTCATTTGGATCAATGAATTCATTTGGATCGCAGCTCACGCAATCAACGGGTCGTCTGCCATGCTGTTCCAGGCCTGCGAATTTCGCCACTACTTCCAGAGCGCCGAGGAGGAGCCTCCTGGCGAGGGAGTGATTGGGTGGTTAGAATAGAACAAGTAAGACCCTCAATAGGTTGCAGAGATAGTTGGTCGATTTCCGTTTATGGATTTCGGATGTATGCAAGGGGATTTACTCTTCCATTGGGCTCAATGTATGTCAGAATGAGAGTGAAGCAGTTTCAAAAACTCATCCACTGGCAACTGCTCACCGCGCTCCGTTGTTACGGAGCCTAGTCACGCCGTGGTCTGCGACAGGGTGGCCATGGGTGACCCTGTGATCGACTGAAGGTCACCAGATTCAGCTTTTGAGCTTTTGTTTCCTGACCACTTCTGTCACCTGCACCCTCGCCACCTCGCAGGAAACCAAAGCTCGGCATGCGCGCTGCGCGCGGGAGCGGTCCCAGCGCTTGCAAGCGCAAGAGCAGGAGGAGTATGGTGAAGGCGACGTCGATTCTTTTGCTTCAGATGTGTTGATGCTCGATCTCATTCGATCTCCAAGCTCCTTTCTGCGGCCCAAATTGGAAGGCCGGGCCCGGCTGGGTGTGGTCTCTCTGCGCCCGCGCGATCGTGGGAGGTCCTCATGAGAAGGTCGACAAGGCGCGCCGCGCCGCACGCTTTGCGGCCTGGCTGGTGAAGACTTATGGCCGCGAGGCGTGCGATTTGGGAGATGGAGTGGGGGGACACTGCTGTGGCTGGACTCCTGGCAGGATGCTGGGAGTTCCAGTCTTGACCAAAACCACTCTGAATCAAGAACTTGCATGCACGACTGATGGCGTATGCGAAGGAACAAGAGCCTTGAAGCAATCAATGACACAAACAATGCATTCGGTGGCTGAGGTCATTGAGTGAAGAAATCTGCTGTTGTCACTTGCTTTGAAAGGCACAGAAGCAGCACCTCACATGAATCACTTGGTAGACGTTTCGAGCTGCAGGGAATTGACCTCGAGCTCCGTAGAGGGTCTGTGCTGGTTTTGAAGATGATCGTCTCGACCGAGGTGATTCACGCTGTAGTCCCGCATAGTTCCGCACTTTGGCACCTGTGTTCAGGGATCGATTTTGTCCCACCATTGACGCCCCAAGCAGCTGAAATCCTGAGGCCACCTGTGTAGCTCCATAGGAGTTTTTGGATTTTCCAACCCCTTTTTTGAGGCTTTTTGTGGCCGGTGAAGAGGTTAGGAACTGGATTCTCGACTCCTCACCAGTCACTTTGATCCCTGACTGGGGGAGGTTCTCAGCAGCGGTCGAGGGGTCTTGGATGTGGCGGGTGGCCAGGGCGATTTGTCCTGGCAGCTTAGCCGCTTCTCTGTGAATATGTGGGCGAATACAAGGGCGAAGCAAGATTTTGCGCAGGGGGGGAGAGCGACAGGAAGATCTGGGGAGGGATGGTCGGGAGTTGGGTTGGGGTGCAGTTCTTGCATTGAAAGGGAATGAGGGAAGTAGTCCAGTTTGTTGTTTAAGTTTTTGATTGATTTCGCAGTGGGCAGAAGGGGTTTAACATCCAGAGCTGCTCTAATGCTGCTTGCAAACACCCTTCAAGTACTTCCATCGTTTGGGTGGTGATGTTTCACCATGCTCTATCCACAAGCATCCTAACAACAGATGTCGTCATTCATACGATTGTTGCGGAGGGATCCTAGGGGCAATGTATGTAGTGATTCATTTTTCATGTGGTCAGAACCCTAAGCAAACTATCATGTACTCAGAAACAACAACGAGAAAGGACTTTATTTTTGTTTTTTTTAATCACTCTTCTATCTTTGCTCATGCCTACAATGTTTCCTGTCGGACAGTTTCATGTCGGGTCAGACATGTATACATGGGGCGTGGGGCTAGTCCCATCAAGCCACGTTAGCCAGGCTAGCCAAGGCTTGGACATCTGGTGGCGGTCCCGCATGCTCATCGTGATCCCTCGCTGTATAGCATAGTTAACTTAAAGGTACAGGTGTGCGTCTTGTGATGATTCCGAGAGTCCAGTGGAAATACCCCCACCGCCCAGGCGTGGAGTATGGCATCCCTTGCACTCTCATTGACCCCATGGTGCGCAGAGGCTTCCCCCCCCCCTTGGGAGTGGTCTGTGTGGTTGAGAGACGATGGAGCTCCAAGACCGGTGTGGTTCGAAGACCGGTGTGGTTGAAAACACGAGCCGCCGGCCTTCACATTCTTTGTTTGGTTCTTTTTATATCAAGGCTTTTCTCTCGAGAAACGATCGAGCGGTATGAAGAAACATGTTCTCTTTCGCATCTTCTCGTTCGAAGAGGCCGGCCTGATCGAAGCCAACCTCTACAAAAATGTGTGACGTGCTCATGAAACGCACAACGACAGCCGTACTGGGGCGACTGAGGTATTATATACTTGGATTATATCAATTGAAATTGGAATACATATGATATAACTTGTATATTCTTGTTGAGTCATGTTAATCCTTAGTCATTTCTTTTCCCAAATACCAACGATGTGTTCTCTTTTCAGAACCAGCTCCATCAATCATTCTCGCATGTGGACGCTCACTCAGTCCACCACTACCTTTTTTTTCGAGGAAAACTATCTGAAAGGGTGGTGGACTAGAGATGTCATATTTTCTCATCATCTCTGGCAGAAACTTTGTTTGTTTGAAGGCGTTCCTTTGTTAACCCCCCTTTGGAAGTCTCCTTGTGGGCTTCCTGGGGGAATATCTTCCACTCTTTTCCTTGAAGAACTCCAAGTTTAGATCCGCCGCACGTAAAGCTGTGTTCCTTGGAGGTGGTGAGTTGAAGAGCTGGCAGCGGCGTGCCTTGCGTAAGCGAGGCACGTAAGACGCCTACGCCAAAACAAACGCCGCACGAGTGAGGCCTCAGAAGTCCCCACACATCGAGGCGACAGATCGGAAGTACCTTGGGTCTACAGACCTTCCTTTTGGGTTGACCCAGCCACCTTAGATAGGAGACATCGGAGACATCCGAGATTTGTAAGGTGAGTTCAGCAGGCGATCATCGAACGAATCCACAAGATCAGGCCTTTGCCCACCACGTGGGCCGCATTCATGTGAGCACTGTGAGCAGCGACAGACTGAACCTAAAGAACCGTGGGCCGTTCAAGAAAAACTACGGATTTATTGATCTGTTTAGGTCCACCGGAACAGGGTGGCCCCGAGACCTAAATGACGGGGTAGATGACCTGCCAAGTGTTTGCCACCACCTGTTCTGGGGAGTTCTTTTTCACTTGCTGGAACAGGCAGAGAGCAAGCCTTCGAGCATTTACCCGTGACCTTTGAGGCAGGGTTGACTTCCCAGACTCGCGTACCGCGCGTTTTGCCGTTTGCGGCGGCCGGCGGAGCGAAGGAGTGACTGAAGCTGCAAGTGCTTGCACAGACACACACACACACACACTTCACACACTCTTAAAAACCAGGGAGTATGAAACCTGAAAGGTTAAGTGGAAAGGCGTCTGACCACAAAAGCATACAAAAGCAACCTCTCGAAATCTAGAATCAAGATGCACAAAGTCCCATCAAAGCTCAAGACTCAAAATGCTGCAAAGGCCAGAGATTTGTTCTAGTTAAGAACGGGACCAAGTAGGAAATGAACGTCAGAACTCTGCAGGTACGCAGTTGGACGTCTCCGTCTCCGACTGTGTCACAGGTATCTGATGAGCGTCTTTGTTAGCACCGGTCTCATCAGCACCCCCGGTGCCCCCCTGCAACAAAAACAAACGAACAGGTTCCCTGTGACTCCAAGTCGAAAAGGCCCCGGACCTTGGGAAGGAGGTAGAAGAGAACGAAGCGCCAAAGTGCGATGTCCACGGTGTAGATCGTGTAGTCGAGGATGAAGCTGCGGAAGTGGGGGGCCGAAGAAGAAGGTGGTGGTAGAATACGCGGATCAGGAAGTTGAGTTTGACCCTGAAGTTCGGCGGCCAAAGGTAATAGAGGCCAGTGTTCACGAAGCGCGGGAGGGCCAAAGTCATCTCCAAGAGAACATGTACATGAAGGAGATCACGATGCAGGATGGCATGAGCAATGCAAGGAACTCCAAAGAGGCAGCATGGCGACAGGAGGAAGAGGTGGAGGAGGTGGGCTCTCAGTCGCTGCCGTAACCCCGGATTGGAAAAATTTCCTGTCCTGAAAACCCCGCAACCCATGGTACTAATTTGAACACCTTTTTTTTCAAACAACAAATACCATCGAACTCACTTTTTCGCGCGCTCTATTCTAACCCGATGATGGGGGGGTAGCCACGGGCACCTGATCTAATGCACCCTCAGTCTCTCCGTCTCCAACGAGTCCACGACTCTTTCAAACACCTTGAAAATGACTCGGTTTCTTCCGCCCCGAATCTGAGTGAGCGGTTGAGTTCTTACTCGTCCGAGAAGTTCAGAGGCTTTAATATAAACAAGTGTCCGTGGGACAGGACGGCAGATGGGATGGACCTTTTGTTCTTGTTAGGCACTGTGCCCCATGGAAAAAACAAGTCAAAGTGGCGGAGGATAAACAGTTATCAAGTTTCGGAACCACTTTTTGAAACAAGTAGTCCTTTAGCTCCAGCTGGCCCACAAAGAGGTCAATCGTGCCATGACTCGACAGTGCATTCGTGATGCCTCGTCAAGTGAGCATGTCGGAGGCCAAGTGGTTGTTCTGCCATCCATCATACCTCAAAGCGGGGCTTGGTCTAGGCTTGGTGATAAACTTAGCGGTGAACCGGTTTAAAGTGAAAGTTCCCGCAGAAAATTGTCAGGGACCCTGAAACCATCAAACGGGTCGAACACGTCGTCGCGGTGGACACGTGACACCAGTTGAACACGTCGTCGCGGTGGACATGGAGGACCAGGAGGGTGGGCGTCATGTGTTGGGTGGATAATTTTTTAACAGGACAACGACAATCTAGAAAGTGTTGATTTCAGGCTTCCCGGCTAAATGACATCTTTGGGGAAATCCAGTCGAACACGTCGTCGCGGTGTCCGTGTCGACACCAGATGGGGAAGACCCCAAAATGGTCAATGTTTCAATTGTTTCAATTCAAGTCATCATCTGTCATTGTAAAGCCTTGTGGATTGAACATGGAGAAGGGAGGTTCCTGGGTTTCAAGTTGAGTTTTTTTTGACCAGTGAAGTTGGCGGGGGTCCCACCTACCAACGGGCCTATTGATAAGTTGAAGTCCAAAAGTGGGCCGGCCGTCCGACCTACATGACGCATGTTAGCCAAACATGCCGCACTGGCTGGCCGTGCCCCTGAACTCTGTCACCGGGCTCTGTGTCCTCCTCTTGTCCTTCTCTTGTCCTGCTGTTGTCCTCCTCTTGTCCTTCTTTTGTCCTTCTTGTCACTGACCAGCCCTGGACACACTGACTGGCCGCGCTCCTGAACTCTGTGGCCGGGCTCTGTGACCGGGTCTTGTCCTCCTCTTGTTTTCTCTTGTCCTGCTCTTCTCTTGTTTTCTCTTGTGGCCGAATAATTAGCGATATCGATGCCGACAAAAAAATCATTGATTAAACAATTTGCTCTTGAAGGGGAAGGTAGGGCGTACCAAGAAATCGTTTTTGACTAATGTCAGCCCAACGAATCGTTTTGAAACTGTTTGGGGTCTATGCTGGTAGCCTATTTTTGTTCAAAGCACAGTGGAGATATGAAGTCAGACCTGTTCCATTTTTCCGAAGGTCCGTCGCTCGAACAATCTGTCTGCAATTCTATCTAGCTTGTCCTTTCATTTTACATACCTGAGATATCGGATACATCGCCCTAAAACATGGTGATTTTCACAAACATGTCACCATGCGAAGTAAACCCGTCAGGAGAGATGGTGCTGGGATGTGATGCGTGCGACGGTGAGGTCCGAACTGTCCACATGCATCCCGAGACGGGCCGCAAGGCGTTGGTTGCGGGAGAGGATGCATGTGACTGTGGAGGTTAATCAATGCAGTGAGAGGAGGTGGTTGAGAGTAACCGCAGATCTTTAAGCAAAGAAACTCGGCAGGGGAGTGACCACAACGTCGGTATGTGTATGAAACCTGAAAGGTAAAGTGGAAAGGCTTCTGACCACAAAAGCAACCTCTCGAAATTTAGTTTTGCAAAGTTCCATCAAAACTCAAGACTCAAAGTGCACATCTGCCGATGAAGAACCACTGCAAAGGCCAGAGATTTCATTGAGCTCGCAGGAGGTGCGCATTTTGATTTTCCATTTTGCAGCCACTTGCAGCCACTTGCAAGTGGCTGCAGGTGACTGCTACGTCTGTCCGGAGAATATCATGATTTTTCCGCATGCAGCTCTGAAGAAAACCAAGATTTCTGCAATGCTGTTCTGCGAAGAAATTCCGGTTTTCTCCCGAGCTGCGCGCGGAGAAATCATGAAATAATGCAAGACTCTTCCGAGAATAAATTCTAAACTTCTGCAGAGCTAGCGACGAAGAAATCTTACAGTTTTTACATAAAGAATTCAAAGTACAGTGTTGAAGTTTACTTGCTTGAGTGACAAGTGGCTGCAAGTGGCTGCCAAGTGGCTGCCTGAGCAAGTGGCTGCAAGTGACTGCAAACCCAAAATCAAAATGTACGTCATTTGCTCGCTCTCTGAGAGACTTGTTCTTGTTAAGAACGGGACCAAGTAGTAGGAAATGACAGTCAGAACTGTGCAGGTACGCAGTTGGACGTCTCTAACTGTATCACAGGTAGTTGATGAGCGTGTTTTTCAGCGCCGGTCTCATCAGCACCCCCGGTGCCCCTTCAACTAAAACAAACCAACAGGTTCCCTGTGACTCCAAGGTTTCACACACACACACACAAACACGCAAGGATTGCAAACAAGTAATCAGTCAGGCAAGGAAAGCAACTACCCTCTTGGGTGTTCTTATTCTGTACATATGGGCATACCGTGACATACGAACACAGAACTTTGTGCAGTTCACACATGAACAGTCTGGTTGATGGAGCTGCTTTGCTGCTGCTGCCGTTTCGGCGCTTGCCTCGCCGCAGGAGCCCAGCTTTAGCTCGATTCATGGCGAGCTGCCCCTTGGTTTCCTCTGACGTATAGCTGGTGATATCTGGTCATGAGATTGCAAGGAAAGGAAAAGGACACACTTTGGGTGGATTGCAGTCGAAATGCTCAACGTTTACGTAACTTTGAAAAACATGGGATTTCAGTGAGTCGAGGTCCATTGCCTAGAAGTGTTTTCTTTTTCCCCATCTGACTTCAGCAACTGACTCACAACCAGGCTGAATGGTGCTTCAGTGGTCGTTGGCCTTCATCCAGATGAGGCCTGGACATGGCCCTGTTGTGAAGCCCTTCCGCATATAGGGATCAAAAAAACAAAGACAAAAAGGAAGGAACCCAGACTCTCCAAATTTCCCGAACACTTTCTCCTGCCGTTCCCATCTGTGGTACCGTTTCCGTGGTGCCAGTCCCATCTTCCACCTACCTCCGCAAGCCTGGCGCTTCCGTCGCGGATTCAGGCGACCGAAGCCATTGTGGACGTCGCCCTGACGCGGCGCCGCGCCGGTGTGCCGTTGCGCTTCGCGGTGGTGCCGTGTTGTGTGTTCGCCGAACGCTTTCCCCGAGACCTGGCAGGTGCCGGTGTTTGCCGCAGACGTCGAGGTTTTTGGCCGGTTTTTTTGGTTGAAGAACTTGGACTAGGTCCACCAAGACATGGATCACCATGCTGAGGTTTTTTTGCCACGAGCGTCTGTTCCTCCAATTGCCTGCCACGGATGTCCTGTCCTGCCTGCGGCCTTTGCGCTCGCTCGAGGTGTCCCCGTTCGAAGCTTGAACCAGTTCTGCGCCTACTTGCGGTCCAAAGATCCCCACATCCAGGCGCTCGGGATCGGCGGAGCGGACCGAGGTGTTGGGGTCGGGAATGAGGTGCAGAAACCCGATTTCCGGGTCGGATCCGGGGGGTCATCCACCAGGGGATGCGCGAAAGTGCTTGGGGTAGTTGATAGGGCCCGGAAGAAGCCCAGTGAAGTCCAAGAGGGTGGTCAGGCCCAGTGGGCCGGGCTGGGCCTTTGGAAGACCAGTTCTGTCAGCATGTCTTCTCATCCTGGACCGTTTGTCCACGTCCGAATCCGAATCCTGCGACAGGAAACGCAAAGGTTGGGGGCAGGGTATCAAGGGTTTGCCTCAGCGAAGGTTTGCCTCCCCCACGGGCCCCAGCCACAGGTACACAGGTTGGTGAGGGCACCTGTGGCATTTTTTGGGTGGTATGTACCGCAATGATGCGATATGGACAATATTCCCATCCATTTGGTCTAGGCCTATTTGGTTACCAACGCACCCGTTGTATCATGGTGGTGTGGCTCCATTTTCTTAAGACCTTGCCAACCCCAAAAAACACCCTTCTTTCACCGGCGAGTGGAACCTTCGCCCAGGAAGACATGCTGGACTTTGAGGGGCGGAATAAGGTCTTGTACATCTGAGGGGATCCAACCCGTGCGAAGAAGCAGGCTTCGCGGGGGCTCTGCGGGGGCTCAGCAAGGTGCACGGGCGAAAACCAGGAACTGTGATCAGGCAGAGGCAAGAGAAGGAGGAGTTTGCCACGAACAAGGCTAGCTGCGAGGGGTTGAAAATCAGGCAAGTTACCACCACTTCTTCGGTTTTCTGATGACCACATGAATTGTGGAAGTGCCTCATTGAGGCGCCACAATCCATCCGCTGATCGAGCAAGGCAACACCAGGCCATCTTACAGCAAGGTATGTCTGTGAAGCATTGCGTGATCCGCAAGGGCTTTCAATCGCCGAAGCATTGCGAAGCATTGCGATCTTGAAAGAGACGGTAGCCATTTTCATTGGCGTCCCGTGCGGTGGAAACATGGGCGTCACGGGAGAAGGAAGTGCGTCACGGGAACCGAGTTGGCCATGGCAATCCCCCAAGAGAGACGGTCTTAGCGGCTGAAGTGGATGGCATGGCCCCGACAAGCGACGTTCCGAAGACCAAACGGGTTGCCTAAAATAGGGAGTGTAGCAGTTTTAAGAGTGTCACTGATGTGGTTAGCACATGTTACCATGACGCCGATGAGCCCTTTCGTTTTGCTGAGGAACTACCTGAAGGAACTCAATGGTGAGGACACGCGTCAAGAGATGCGTCCCGTTGGCGATTCTCAGGGTGATTCGAGGCCTTGGTGCGACAGACCATTCCACAAGGACAATCTCTGGAAACCATCAAAATCGGGAGCGCTGCTGATTTTTGACCGGCCTTTTCTTTTGACGTTCGTGAACTGTGAGACAACGTTCAAAGTTTCGACCTGACAGACTGTCATCCGCAAGAGGTAATAGGGCCACTACAACATCAGGTCAAACGGACAGTGAAGCCCGATGGTAGAATATGGTCCAGGGCGGGTGCCCTCATGTGAGAGCTTGCATGATGAGTTTCGTGCTGAGGTGTGGGTGGTCGAGGTGTAGTCCAGCTGCCTGGCTACTTCCAGCCGAATCTACTGTAGAATGAAGCAATGAGGGCCATTGGACCAATCAAGGGACCAACGAATCCATACCCACCAACCAGCGGAGAACCGTCGACGACGCCTGGTGTGAAACTGATATTTCGGTCTTCCTTGGTCATGTTTGATGAGCCCGGATTCACCTGGATTCACCTCACAAAGGGTGTGCACGGAACCTGTCTTGGATCCCATGGAACGCCGAATCCACGGAATAGAGGACTCTCCAGTGCGGCCTGAGGTCGCGGCCTGTTTTGGCTCGCCAGACGTGAACCGCTTCCAGGACGCGAGCTGCATGTTCGTGGTCCGGCGCGTGAGCCGACTGGGTTTCAAGTGCGAAGAGGCGCCCCTCAGCGGTCGGCGCAACGGGCGCTCCTTCGCGCCGCGGCCGCGGGGCCAGGCGGCGCCAGCGAGATGGAGCGAGTAAGTGGTGCACGGTGCACGTGTGTTGAGAGGCCTTGAAGGCGCCAAGACTTCGATGGAGACAAGAAGTGTGAGTTTGGATTCGACCATTTTCTTGGAAGACACTGTCCCAACCTGCCTTAACCTATCCATTGCTGTTTGGATTGGCGAGTATGTTTGAGTATTTTCCAGCATTTCTTCCATTTTCTTCCCAGATACAAGGTGCACAAACAAGTGGAGGAGGGCCCCCACATGAGTATCAGCTATTCTTTTCCAGACAAGTAGAGGAGGGGCCCCCCAAATGAGTATCTCGATCAGAAGCTCTCACCAGGAGTTTTATGTTGGTGGCATGTAGACCCATCCAGTTGTGGACCACGGTTTTTGTCCAGCCAGTTGACCTGCTGGTGCCGGTGCCGCGTCTTCAGCCGTGTCTGCGTATGCTTCTTCGCGTCGAGGTGTTGCACCAGACCTTCGCAAAGTTTGGCAAGGTGAAGAAAGTGCTTGTGACCAAGGCCTCCGCTGGGCCACACCAACACACGCCCACACCATCGCTATGTTCCACTGGGAGAACCATGGAGAACCGGTCCTTTTGGTTTGTCCTCGCTCCGAAAACGCGTGAAACCGGTTTAGCCTTCTGACGCCAGTCCAACATGTTTGGAACCGACCTGTCTCACATCCAACCCAAGAACATCCCAACATCCATTGCCGTCTCCACCGGACCGCCATCGATCCTCGACACTTGACTCGCCATCGATCCTCCAGGGTGGCAAGACACAGAGGCGAGGTCCGCGCGGCAGCTCAGCGCCGGAGCGATGCACCGTGAAGTCTGGCCCATGGTGGGATAGGCCCAGGTAGGCCCTAGCCGCCCTAGCTGCCCTAGCCGCCCTATAGCCGAAGCCCGCAAACCAAACACTACGGAACTCCTCGACGGTTGGGTGGCGGGACAGGAGCAAACCACGTCCGCCCGTCCCAACATGAAAACGAGCTGACAAAAAGACGACTCGACATGCCGTTTTCACGGCCGGATCCACCGTGGGGCGTTGGTCTTTGAGCCTCCAACTCCAGCAGGTCGACAATCAACCAACAGAGGTTGAAGGACCCGAACTAGACCATCGTGTCCTTTTTCAGGTCACTTAACCTCTCTTGGACACTTTGGAGGGTTCAGGAAGAGAGCGCACTTTGATGAAGATTCAGCCCCTAGGCTGAGAAGCCGAGTGGCAGCTCTGGGTATCGTCGCAAGGGTGCTTAGAGGAGCTCGTTCAGGGTGTTGGGCGTGTCGAGATCGGTCTGTGACCATAAGCCTGGGTGAATTGACCCTACTTTCCTCTCAGTTTTCAGTGATT